AGCTCTTTGTCAGGGGCTGATGGAGATGAGACAGTGCCAGGTGAATTCTGTTCAGCTGAAATTGGGCTATTTTTGGGATTCAGGTGCTGTTAAAGAAGTAAAAGCAGTCTCCCAGGTCTGATAGAAGAAAAAAGTGCAAGAAGATCACCCCAGAGTCTGCCAGGGGGGAATCTCCCCTGAGCTCATCCTCAGAAAATGTGGTGTTATTGCATAATTCCCTGTGTCTTCCAGGGAACAACAGGAAGCCCTAAAGGAGCCACCCTCTCCCACAGGAACATTGTGAATAATGCCAATCTGGTTGGTCTGAGGCTGGGGATCACAGACCAGGTGGGTTTGGTGGGAACAGGGTTTGGGGAGGCCTCTGCTGCAACGGAGAGACCACGTGTGGAGAATGCCAGTGTTTACTCAGGGCAGGATGTTCTGCTGCAAATGACATTGAGGGATATTAATGCATAACATTTTGCATTGCTATAGAACTCATTGATCTTTCATTTTAGTTTCATGTGAAGCGTTTTTTTTTTAAGGCACAAAAGCTATCTTTTTGTGGAGGAAAAACATGAAATTAATAACTTCATTTTGGTGAATACTCATTTCAAATAATTATAAGACTCTGGATGTTAGCTTTGCATTCTGTTGACTGAGGTTTTAATTTGGTTTACATGACTTGGTTTCATGTCATGTTTACAGTCTTGTAATTCTTATCAGGGTATGACCTCTCTTTTTATGGTTCCTTAAAAAATTGTTAAAGACAAATATTTTCTTTTGAAGTTCTGAAATACTTATTTCTAACACATCAGCTTTGATCCAAAGAATAGATGAGTTGTTTCAATCAGTCTTCAGAGCCTTTGGTGATTAAAAAAAAAAAGAAAGTAAAGTGAATAGCATGTGCCAAGTCCTGCATATTTCATACCTCTCACAGCACTCCCATTCGTCTCTTTTCGTATATAATGTATAAGCAATAACAGACCAAGGAGTCCAGCAAAGAAGAGACATTGCAGAAGGACAGGATAAAATATTGACATAAAAAAACTTCCCAAACTGATTTTTATTAAAGGTAGGATGTGTCAGTTACGTTTTCACCTAACAGGAACACAGCAGAATGTCAGATTTCCAGCTGAGGGGACCAGGAGAAATGTTTCTGCTCAGATCTTTGCTCTTCAGCAGGGAGATGGGCTGGACACCCACCGAAGGTCTCCTCTGCTCACTGTTTTCTGGTTGACCCCAGGAGAGTCGCTCTGGGCTCCCTGCGCCTCTCTACCACTGCCTGGCGTCGGTGGGAGGCTGCATGGTGATGGCGCTGCACGGCACCTCCTGCATCTTCTCCTCGCCCAGCTTCGAGGGCAAGGCTGCGCTGGAGGCTGTGTCCCGAGAGAAGTGAGAGCCTGTTCTCTAAGGAGCAGTTCTTGGCCTCGTGGCTCGACTTCTTCCCTTGCCCCAGCTGCCAGGACCTTGCTTGTGCTCTTCCTTCCCACAGCTGAGAGGCAGATTTGCTGCTGCACTCGGCTGCACAGGAGCCAAAGTCTGCCTTTTCAGCTGTGCCTGGGAGCGTGTCACCCTTCTCCTGAAATGAAGGAATCCTTCCTGTCACCACAGGCCTTTGGCTGGGAAGCACAGTGGTGTCTTGGCTTGCTGTGGCTGCTGTGTTTTCACACCTGAACACCCGCCCTCCTTTTCCAAGTCCACCTCTGCTGCTGGGATAGTGTTTCCATATTGTTCCTCAAGTATAGCTTGGGAAACAAAAGAGCTGTTGCTGTGTCTGCATCATACATGTACATATGTCTCTATATTTTATGTAGATTCATGTCTGTGTGTGCTGATGCTGCTGTGCCTGCCTTCATGCTGCTGCTCTGCAGCCCCAGATGGGATGGATGGCTCAGGATGGGATGGATGGCTCAGGATGGGATGGATGGGTGCTGAGATGGGGCTGCCCCCAGTTTCCACCTCTGCAGCTTTGCCTTTTTATTCCCTATTCCTCAAGATGCTCCTTCCTCCTTGGCACACCCACAATGTTCATAGACATGCTCTCCCAGCCGGACTTTGACTCCTATGACCTGTCAACTCTCCGGGGAGGTAAGTCCCAGAATTCAAATGGAAAACTCCTGAGAACCAGCATAGTCCTGGTTCCCTGCTGGGAAGCTGTATTTTTAGTTTTGTGAGCACACGTCTCTTCTGGTGGGAAAAATCTAGTTGCATGAGCCTTGTGTTTCCCCTGTTAATTTGATGCTACATTTCTTTTCCTTGGGAAATCCTTCCATCATGGTGTATTTTAGGACTTCTTCATCTGAAGGCAGTCTAGGAAAGGACCTTTCTATTTTAGCTACAAGGGGTGGTGTCAAGAGCAGCTTGATTTTCCTTGCCTCTCCAGCCACCACCATGTGGCAGCAGATGCTTTCTGTGTCTCAGGCTAGTGCAGTCCATAAAGCAGAGCCAAGCTCAGATTTTTCTCTCAGACCTGAAGTTTCCTGCCTCTTTCTGAAGTCACTCATCCCCGTGCTGGAGGGTGTGATACAATCAATGTGCTGGAGCTTCCTCTCTTGTCACAGCCCACTTTGGAAATAGCTGGGCAGACCACCAGTCCTATTGAGGCAATTATAGTGCAGAGAGAAGGTGGTGCTGGAGCATAAGGAAATATTTTAGCAAGTTACCTAATCATCTCTGCTATGTGCACAATGATCCTGTCTCATCCTGTTCCCCACCAAAGCCCATTTGTTACCCCACTCTCTTGCTCTGTCATCCTAGGTTGGAACAGGTGGCAGTGGGATCTACCTTCTCCCAAAAGGGCTGCTCTGTGCAAGGCAAGAGGAAAGGTTTTTGCTTTTATGGTGATGATTGATGAGAGTGTTTGTCCCACTATAAAAATGTGCCTCTTTCTACTATGAATCTTTAAATTTTTGGAGAACTGTAGGTTGGACTAGGTTTGAATTATATTTTCCTGTTGAGAAAGGCAAATTGGCCTTGCTGCAGCCTTTGCTTCTAGAACAACTAAGACCTATATAAAAAGATTTAGGAAGTACTTTGACAGGGACCAGTGTATCCCACTGGTCTTGTCAGCATTAAATCTGGGAGTGGAGAGCTGTTTGAGGGACCCTCCTGGGAGTAAATAGCTAGTTTCCAAGATATTTTCCTCTTTCTTCCAGGAATTATTGCAGGCTCTCCTGTCCCCCCTGAGACCATGAGGACAATTATCACCAAGATGCACATGCCAGAGCTCGTGGTGAGTTGTGGTGGCTGTGATCAGACCTGCCAGGGGTGTTTGTCACAGTGAGACACTGAGTTGGGGTGTCTCTGGACCACAGTGGTTCCTGGTGGTCCTGGAGCTGCTGGGATCAGGCTGAAGAGGGAACTGGAAGGCAGAAGTGGGAGTTCTGCCTAGTTGCTGCTGAGGTGTCTGGGGAGGAAGCTTTGGCAGAAATCAAGGCATCACATTCAATGCCATTAAGTGAAATTCTGCTGCTCATTTCAAAACTTTTACTGACATTCAGTTGTACACACTGCCAGGATTATGATGGCAGACGCAGTGCTGGTTCATATTAGTGCAGGTGGGTGCTTGTATTCCTCTTGGTGTGGAGCTGTCAAAATTTCTTTCCCCATCCTGGATTTCCTGTGGCTGTAAAACCTCATTGTGTGGTTTTTGTTGTGTCTGAGTCAGGTCATGCCAGCCACATGTACAGTGCCAGGAGGGCAGTTCGTGCTGGTCCACTTGTCCTGGGCCACCAGCATGTGCTTCCTGTGGGGGACAGGCCACCAGCACGGGGCTCAGTGACCCTCTGGGTGATGCATTTCCTAGGCACATCTGGCCATCTACATGCAAATGGCTAAGCCAGAAAAGAACCATTTCGTTTTGCCATAAAGGAAATCAATTTGGTACCATGCTGCTTCCCAAGGCTGAGGAAGTCAGATTAGGCTGTTGTTTTTGGCAGACCCTGACTGCACCAGCAGTAGGGTTTTGCAGGGACAGCTCTGTGCTCTGCCACAGACCAGGAGAATTCAGGGCATCTGTCCTGAAGCTGTCTTGGATGCAGCCAGGTTTTTTCCTGGATATGATGTTCTTAATGCTAAGCTAGAAACACCACGGACAGCCTTGGTGCTGCTGCTTGTGCTCTGTCAGGTGACAGCTACCTATTTTTATAGTAAACTTGAATTTGGCCTCACAAAATATTTTCAAGCATTCCTGTGAGAGCTCAGGACTCATTAGGTGTCACATGTTCCTGTTTTGTAGCAAGAGAAATAATAAAACCCTCCCAAACAGTTGCTCTGCCCATGGGATAAAGAGGATTAAGTCTATATTTGTGCCACCGGTCTCATGTTACTCCTGATCCCTCCAGCTCTCAGGCAGACACACAGAGACTTGATTTCATCTTTGCAGCAAGAGCTTTATACAGAAGATGTACATAAGAAAATATACAATTCAATTTCTATATAGGAGGCAGAGGAGTTTTCATCCTCTTAAAGGTCATTTACACTGTTACAGAGGAATAAATAGACATATATTTATATAACTCTTTAGGATTAAAAAACATAGTTGAATTGCAACTGTGGAATTGAAATAGCTGTGACAATAAACCATAGTCATCCTGGTGTCCTGCTAGATCCTCTGGAGTGTGGGTGGGAAGGAGAGGAGGAGGGTGCCTGAGCCAACTGCACCACACACACCTTCTCCTCTTGGACATTTTGGTGACCCCACAGAGTGGGAGGGAAATCCAGCCTTCAGATGGATCAGATTCCAGTTCCAGTTTTGGGTGTTCCCAGTACTGCTTCCCCTAAAGGACATCTGGCCAATTTTGGGAGACTGCTGCCTCAGAGCCACTTGGTCACTGCTTCACCTGTTCCCTCAGCCCTGGCCTGCAGGGATCCCCTCTGTGGGTAGGCAGGGGAGTCTCTTTGCATGGGTTGAGACCAATTTTCCTTATCAAGCAGCTGGGGGAGGGATGCTCCTGCTTCCCCATTTGCTCCCTCTGCTCTGGAATGGGAGAGACAGCGGCCAGCTGGTTGACCAGGGATGTGGGTTATGTTTCTTCTGGGAAAGATGACTGTTCTACCAGCAGGATCTAGCCTAGCTTGTCTTAGTATGGGCATGCATAGTTTAGTTTTCAAAAAGGCCTCTTTTAAAATACATAGATGTCGGAAAAGACTGAGAAGGTGGATTCCATCCTTGTGATCAGCAGAGAAGCAGGGATTCAGAGGAGGCTGCAGGTGTTCATATATGTCAGGAGTATTTCCTGACAGGTAGGAGAAGCTCAAGGAAGGACTCGGAAGTCAGTAGTTTTCTGATGGCTGAAGTGACCGGTCACCAGGACGGGCCATGCTGGAGCCTGCTGGCATTAAAAAAGAGAGAAGGCCACACCTTTAAGGAGATTTTTCCAGCAGAGCAGTAAACTTGTAACATTTGCCTATTTTTAAATCAGTGGATGAAGCCCATGCTTGAAAGTGAAGAGTTTGAGCCAAGGAGCTGTTACAGCTGAGGAATGGGTTTGTCCTGTCCCTGAGCTCCTCTGCCAACTCTGGGTGACTCCTGGGGATCTTACCCAAAGTGCTGATGGGCAGGGAGCACTTTCTTGGCAAAGGGAGGAAACTCAGAGTGAAATTTTCAAGTGGACTATTTTGATGCCCTGATTCTGAAAATCCAGGACAAGTATAGTCTTAGAAACGACCAAGCAGCTTTCCATCTTAAATATAGCCCGTGACCCAAGTCAGTCCTCATCCCTGAAATACAGACCTCTGTCTGTGACAGCTGCCTGGCTCTCAAGGGATGCATGATGAAGTCAGAGGTACTTTCATAAAATTCATGCTCACCACACTGGAGTGGGTTTGTGTAGCTGCATTTTGGCACTGACACCTGAAGGCACTGAGCTTTATCTTCTGCAAGACTGGAATAAATAGTTCCCTATTTCATTAGCAATTGTAAACTTGTTTGAGGGAGCTGGATGGAAAGTGCTACAGAAAAAAAACAGGTCATGGTTTTCTTACTTTCACCATGGAGGAGTGAACTGGGATCAAGTTTAGGCAGGGAAAGACAATTAAGAAGGGTCAGACCTGTAAATAAACTAAGTTTAAGTACTGTGGTTTAGAAAACTGAAGTTTTTCCGTGCTTAGTGCAGAACTTTTCCTGCCCTGTATGGAATGACTGGTATTTCCATCTCTAATCCATAAAACCTTCTGGCACTACAAGAGAAATAATCACTTGAGAAAGGCGCAGAGCAGCTGGCAGAATCCCTGACATTTTGGTCATAAATTCCCTTTCTCCACCCTGATGTGCATATCCTTAGTGAAGTGGGGATCAAAAGGCCATAACACGGCACAATGCCCACCTCTTTCCATACAATGCAGTGCAGGATCACTGCACTTGGCTTAACAAATGAGCAAAGGTCCCTTCCCCAAGACCTTACAAACTTCCAGGCTCATTCAAAGTTCTCTGGAATCCCAGACCTATTTCTGGGATGGCAAAAAGTAAAACGCTTGGGGTGGAGTGATGACAGTTGTGGCTTTTTTGCTCCTCTGCAGGCTGAACTTAATACCCCTGGTAGTTTCCAGCTGTGGAAGGTGTCTGTGTGATCAGTTTTCATAGTTGGTGTTGGTTTTGGTAGCTGTTAGCAAAAGTTCATTGCTGGAGGGGAAGGCAGCCTGGTCTCTGAATCACCTCCTGGCTAAGGACACCTTACCCAAAGAATATTTGCTGTCTTGAACCTCCCTCCTCTGGGATACTTATTTGAAGACAACAGCCGTTGTTTTTAAATGTTTAATTGTTTTTAATTGTTTTTAAAGACCCGACTGTCTTGGAGGGAATTGTAATTGTGGAAAAGCAGCTGGGTCAAGAGCTGCTCCTTATGAAAGGTAACTTTCATGGGCAGTCTGGGGCCAGACTTCCCAGCAATGCCCTGCCCTGGATTTCACATCAGACCTGGAGGACCTTTATAGGGCAAAGGGCTGAGCATCTCCAGTTGATTAGAAAAGTAAGGTTTGTGTGGTCCCAGCTCAGGGTAGGAGTCAGCTAAACACACCTTTGTTTTGATATATAGTGTCTATCCCTTTTGCATAACAATTACACCTTGACTTGAAATGGGGCTTTGGTGTTAGGACAGGTATGTGTCACCACAGTGCCTGAAGCATGACTGAGGCTTAAACCCTGAAGGTTTTGAAGTCATTCTGTGTGTATTTTCAGGATCCTTACTTCTCTATTTCATATTCACTTGCATGTTTTGTCCTTAATTCCTGCCCCAGGCCTCTCTTTAGCCCTATATTTTTTCACAGAGTTGATCCTATCCCTGATGCTACAGGCAGGTTCTCTGCTATGGGAGCTCGTGCAGCCAGGAGATGGTGCAGCTCTTAGCACAGACATCTGTGGCTGGATGGATAGCTGCTGTAGGCCAAACCCTGGTGGCACTTAAGACTGGTGCCACAAAAGGTGCAGGGGCTTCTGGTGCAACTAAAGGGGAACCATCTTACGTGTTTAATGGCGGCTCCCCTTCCTGGACCTCTTGGTGGGCAGCTTGCAGGAGCGGAGGGCCGGGGTGTCCCTGATGGGCTGTCCCCGGTACTGGGCTGGCGTGGAGCAGCTGTCCTCAGCACGGGTGCGGTTCCCTTTCAGCCACCTGTGACACAGGGAGGAAGGAAGGGAGGAACTTGAGAAAGGGGCAAACCACGGGCATCAGAGAGAGCTGCCAGCTGTGCCCGCCGTGTCCTGGCGCAGGCTGGGCTGCGGCGGTGCCGTACTTGCGCAGAGGTGCCAGCTGGCAGCTGCAGTGCCAGGGGTTTCGGGAGATTGTCAGCGTCTCCATCTTGTCAAAAGGGAAGTTTCGGGGCAGTTGGGTGAGCCGGTTGTTCTCCACATGGGCGGTTTTCAGCGCGGTCACGCCGGCGAACGCATTGTCTGCAAACTGAAGCACAAAGGTTTCTGGTGAGGAACGTGGAGGTGGGGAATGGGGACTCCTAACCTGAGCTCCTCTGTTCCAGACTTTGAGTGTCATAAGAACAAGGCACTGGGACGTGTTGCCTAGAGAAGTGTCAGAATCCGTGCTATTGATGATTCTGAGATTGTAGAAAGTCTCTGTCTTTGAGCCCTGTAGCCAAAGCAGAAGCCATAATTGGTCGGTGCTGGTTCCAAGGTTGTTTATTCTGTTTATCTCTAACATGTTCTGCTGCCCTGCCCAGCTCTGTCCTGCAGGGCAGCGTGTGGGGCTCTGCCCTCAGTGGGATGTGACAAACATTAAATACCAGAAACTCCCTGGGCTGCATTTACAAGAACGTGCCAATATCTGTCACCTACGTTGGACAGTGTGTCCCCAGCCTGAACCAACAGAAAAATGCAACACCACAGTGAGACATGGAGGGCATGAAGAAGGAGAAAAAGGACAAGGCACACCCAATTTCCTCCATCTTGTCCCCTTTAGACCCCTTATCTAGAATCCTAAAATTTTACTTTTGCACCTGTGCCACACTTAATTATTACTTATATCAAACACTCAGAGATAGTAATTCATCCTGTAAGATTGAAAACTCTTTTCCATGGCCAGAGATCACAGCCAGTGTCTCTGGGGGCTCTGTCCAGGGGGGTTCCTGACCCCTGCCAGGGTCCCAGACCTGCCAGGGCAGACAGAGGGATGTCCTGTACTCCCACAGAGAAGTTGTGAATGTGCTGTGCCTGGAAGCGTTCAAGGCCAGGTTGGACAGAACTTGGAGCAACCTGGTGTCCTTGCCCATGTCAGGGGCTTTTGGAAAGAGATGATCTTTAATGCCCCTTCCAGCCCAGGTTATTCTATCATTCTATGAAGCATGGAGAGAGCAAGTGAAGAAGCTGTGAACAGGGATTTGGCTTGCTGGACACTGTACACTTGAGAGGCAGCAGACTGGTGGGCTCGTGGTTGATGGAGTGTCCTACAAGGAGAGCTATGTCCCAAATCCATGTGGGATTGTCTTTGCAGCCCCATCCCTAAATAAATTGAAGTCTGGCAACCCTTTTTATTTTTGAGCCATACTTCTCCATTCTAAATGAAGATATATTCTCATCTATTCCTTTCTAAGGCTGGAAATCCTCCCAAGGCCTGTTGCCTTGCCTGGAGCAACTGAAGGAGGAGTGTTTGTGGCCTCTGAAGGGGCTGTAGACTTTGGCAGTGCCTGGGGGCTCTGAGTGGAAATTTACACTTGGCATTTGAGCAATGCAGAAATACAGGCAGGTTTCCAGCACCTCAGCCTCCTCCATTTTTTCTCATTTCCAGTGGGTTTTTTTCACAAGGGATGCTGTAAAATTTGTGCTTTCTTGGTTGATAGAGAGGCTTTAAGATAGAGTCTCCCTTAAGAAAGCTGTCAAAAAGCAAGAGAGGCTGTAGACCTGACTTTGCAGCCCTCTCCTCTCTTCCCTGAGGCCTCATCCCTGATGTTTTTCAGCCCATGGTTATTCAAGTTGGAAAGTTGTTGAAAGCAAACCCCTGAACAGGAACTTCCATGGCAGTGGCAGACAGGAGAGGGGCTCCCTGACAAAGCACAAAGCTCTTCTTAGCTATGACAAACCATTTCTCCTCCCTCTCAATGTGGGGGGGAAGTTTTCTCTAAAGGTTGGAGAGGACACTTGCTAGGTCTTCCCAAAGCCCCAGGACCTGTGCTCCCATTTCTGAAAAGAACCTTGCACTTCTCATGGACCATCAGGGCGTGTTCATGCTCCCTAAACTGAAAAGCTTGACAGAGGAAATGCACTATTTTAAGCCATGAACTTTTGTCATCTCCCAAATTAAGCATTGCTGGATGGGGTTAGAGCATAGCCAGATCCTTGTAGCTGTTGGACAGTCAGTATTGGTCTTCTCCTTCCAAAAGTGAGCTGACCCCAGGAGGCTGGACTGTGCTGATAGTGAAGCTGCTCTGAGGGATGCTGGCACGCCGTGCAGAGGGCTGGGAAGGCTGGACAGTGGTGTTACTGTCTCAGCTGCTCATTCCTCTCCCAGCCCCATGAGAAGAGTTCACATCTGCTGCTAACAGCTACAGAGCCGCCTGCCAGACCGTGTCTTTGGGAAGAAAAGGGTGATTTTTATCCCTCATTTAGATGGAGGTTTACTGCTGTTGAGTTATTTTATGCTGAATACACAGATGGGGGTGCTTGTCTCATGTTGAGGTACAAGGAGGGTCCTGGCCTGTGCAGCACAGCCCTGTGGGGTCTGGTGTGGGTCTGTGATGCTGGGGGGGAATGGGAGCTCCAGCTTTTGCTCAGGCTCTCCCTTTTGCTCAGCTGTAATTTAGGCTGGAATAGAATTGCGTGGGTTTACACTTGGTCAGCTCAAAAATCTTGCAGGCATGCAGGGAAGTGCTAAGGACAGCATGTTTGTGGAGGAGAAAGGGCTACAGTAAAGATGCCAGCAGTACCTAGAGCATTTGGTGGTGATTCCCTGGATCATGTGGCCTCTGTGATTAGATGTCTCTTAGCAGTGCAAAGTTCACACGTGGGCTGTTTGGGTATGAGGCCTTTGAAGATTTGAAGGGAAAATGAGATGGAAGCTTTGTATTTGCAAGCTCTAAAGCTGCACCCCTATTAGTGCTGATCCCATAAACTGATGTCCTGTTGGGCTGCTGGGGAGGAAAGGAGGCACTGGCTGCACAAGAGCCTTTTACGTTCCTACTTACAGGTGGTCACTGTAAAAAAAAAATCCTTTTTGCTGGCTAGAATTGTTAACCATTGGTTCTTGCTCAAACCAAGGATGCTTGTTTCCCTGGAACATCCCAAACTCTAATTTCTTCAACATGTAACTTGGAAACTCTGATATCTCTAGCTGGTACAACATTAGACTGCAATATTTGATTGAAAGTGCCTTAGAACTGAGTCTACAAAAGTGCTGTAACAGAACATTTAAAATCTTGCCTAGTGAGGTAAATGAATCCTTTTCAAGTGTTGAGTTTGCTCAGTCTCATACTGGAGAGGTTAATGATCAGAGTGGACAAGGCAAATAAATACTTAAATACTGAATAAATACTTAAATACTGAAGTTACTACTGAACTGGTTTAGTTAGTGTTGTTCTGCACCTGAACAAGCTGTAATTCCAGTTTTTGAGCTTTTTTGGATTCTATCTCCCTTTGAAAACTCTGTGGTTTTTTTGCATTTCTTGTAGCTTGCATGTGATCTGCTCATCACTGTGAGACTGAGTTGTGAAGAAATTCTCTTTTTCATCCCATCTTCCTGCATGTGGTGGGTGTTGCTTTGCCGTGCAGTCCCACCCTGCCTCACCTGAAAGCTCTTTGGTTTTCCTGGCAAAGCATCATCCCAGGGAGATCTGTTCTGCTCTGCCTGCACCACCCTCTCTTTCCAGCCCTGGGGGACTCACCCGGGACATCAGGCTGCATCAGGATGCTGTGCTGGCTTCTGCAGCACTGCCTGGCTTTTCAAAGTGATTCCCTGAGTGCGATACTCCTGACTGTGGATCCTGCTTTCTCACAGAAAAAGGAGGGGGTTGTTTTGCCCTTCAGGATACCTGAATGTCCCTCCTCCCCTCCAGTGGGAACAGGGCTCCTTTGTAAGATGCTGGGAGAGTTCCTTTTGAGAGAGCATCAATAAACAAACCTTTCTTTGTAACGTGTCAGGTTGGGAGGCACTGGGGAGGTGAAGGTCTGTACCTCTACCTGTCTGCAAGGCACGGGGAAGAAACCAGGACTGTTCACAGCCCCTCCAAGGAGCCTCCCTCCCCTGATCTACAGCAGGTACCTGGGCTGAGCACAGGAGGCAGAGCAGTTCAGCTCTGCAAGGTGGAAGTGCCCTCCACCATGAGGGACATGCTCACCTCTCATCCCTCACCTTGTTTCTGTGAGTATGGAAGGTTCCTATTTGTCCTGGAGCATCCCAGATACCTTTCTCGGTGTCTGGTGTCGCCTCCAGTTTGGGAGGGAATGCACTGCCTTGCATCCATCCAGAGGGCCTAATCAGTCCCAGATAACTTGGTTTTGCATAAAAAACTCAACAGAGGGGTGGGGTATGCTCTCTCATCCCTCGCTTGAGCCACATCAGGGTGTAGTCAGTGCCTTGCTGCCTGCAGAGCCTACAGATCTGCATCTCCCCTCTCCTCTGTAAGGGAGGATCAGCAAACCAAGGGCTTAGTAAAGGGGAAGAAAAGCAAGCCCCATGCTTCTGATCTGGAGCAAGTGGAAGGAGAAGAGACTCACCTTCTTCAGTTTCATGTTGTCCAGGTGGAGTGTCTGCAGGTATCGCCCAAAGGACTGGAAGGCGTTGTCAGGGATGACCTCAATTGGGTTGTGAGAAAGTTTGAGTTCCTCCAGCACTCTCAGCTTACTCATTGCATTCACAGGGTAGCTGCTCAGCTGGTTCTTGTCCAGGTGGAGGACAGCAAGGTTTTCTACATCCTCCATGGCCCCAGGTAGGAGGTTGGTGAGGGAGTTATCGGAGAGGAAGAGCCAGCGCAGATCTTTAGCCCCATTGAAGACCCCTGGTTTCAGCTCCTGGATTTTATTGCTGCCCAAGTGCAGGATGAAGAGGTTGACAAGAGGGGAGAGGAGCCCCTTGGGTAGGTCTGGGATCTTATTCTTGTCCAGGTACAGGTAGGTGAGATCAGAGAGATCATCAAAGGCTCCTGGCTTTATGACACTGATCTGATTGTCAGTGAGGTAGAGGTAGACCAGGCTCTTGAGCCCCCGGAAGGCTCCAGTGGAGATCTCCTTAATGCGAGAGCTCTGGAGGTGCAGGGACACCAGCTTCTTCATGTCACGGAAGCCGTTGGTGGGCAGGATGGGGAAGTTGTTCCTCTGCAGGTTGAGAAGCCGCGTCTGCTCGGGCACTTTGGGGATCTTCTTCAGCCCCACGTTGTCACAGATGACGTGCTGCAGGTCTCCGCCGTGGCAGTGGCAGCTGGGGGGACATGCCTGCATGGTGGAGACGAGACATGCCAGCAGGCTGAGGACAGTGAGGAGGAAGCCTGACCCATTCATGGTCAGATCTGGAATTAAGTGTGGTGGGAAGAGAAGCGGGAGGAGGAGAGTGACGGGTGGGAGAGAGAGAGAGAGAGTAACCGGGTTTGCAGCATACTGAACACAGCCCTATTTATAATGTTATTAAAAAGCAAAATCCCTTCCCACAAACCACAGGCAGCAGCCAGTTGGAAACAACTGGCTTTGGGAACTTACTGTGAGCTTAACCCCTTGGCACCAGGCAGAGGAGTGTCCATGGCCCTGCTGCTGAGCCATGTGCAGAGGCAGTTTTCATCTCTGGAGGAAAATAGGAGGCAAATACTCAGGAAGAACCAATGCAGACCTGCTCTGTGGAGAACCTCCCTGGTCCCTGCTGAGCAGGGCCCAGATTCATCTGCAGGGGGGGAAACAGCCTGGTTTGGTTAAACAGCATAGCAGGGAGCACTGCTGAGCTCCACAACCACCTCCTGCTGCAGCTTCCAGCAGGCTCTGGGTTCTGTTTAGCCTCAGCTGATTTGGGGAGAAGCGCCTGGTCCTGTTCTCACAGAGGAAGGTTCCTGGTGGCGGGGTGGGGTGCCTTTTTTCACTGATTCAAGAGGAGTTTGCCTAAACAGGGATTGGAGAAGGTGGGAGCTCTATGGGGTCATGCCAAAGGCCAGCAGCACAGCAGTTGCTCTTGCAATGCAAAATTTTGGTTGAACACTTCCAGATCTAGGCTGCATTGAAGAGCTGGCCAAGAAAGGGAGTGCAAAAACAGTCTTAGCTTCTACTGTGTCTTTTCTTTTGAAGAGTTGAGGATAATATGCATGGTCAGGACATCTGGTGCCTTCCAACAAGGGATGGGGCAGGGATGTGGTGGGCTAGGCAGTGGTGTGGAGGTTGGTGGCAGTGCCTGTGGCTCTCGAGGCAGAGTTGTGGAAAGGGAAAAGCATTGGTAAAGGGATGGAGAGCTAGCAAGACAAAAGAATCACTGCTGGAACTGGGAGTGGCATCTGCCTTGGCTCCTGTCTTAGGGTAGCAGTGGCAAAGGTGAATTAACACCACAAGGGATGTCCCCTGCTCTCCCAATTAAGAAGGCTAAAGCAAAGCAGTTAAAAGCCCCAGCGCCTACTTCTGTGAGTGTGAAGAGAGAGATCCAGGGGTTGCAGGGTGGGGTTTGGAATTGGAACATTTTGAACTGATTTCCAGCCAGTTCCTGGCTGCAGCAAACAGCTGAGAGCCGAGCATATAACTGTGAGCTTGTTGAGATTTCTGCTCCTGAGGCTGGCTGCGGAGCCCCAGTGGAACCCGTGCAGAGGCGAGACGGGCTCAAGAAAGGGAGGAAATCCAAGGGCTGACTTAGGACACAGAGTGGCTCATTCAGTGGGATTCCTGGGTTTTTCCATTGTTGCAGTGAGGAATCAGCCGGCGCCGCCGCGCGTGCTCGGGACCGTGTTATGCAAAGGGCCTGGCAGCCCTGCTCTGGGCAGCAGCTGCCAGTCTGAGCAGTGTTTGCACTGCAGGACTAATTTGGGGCAGAAAGGAGGCTTCTGGGGTGGGAATGTGGTTCTGGTGAGCCTGTGGCCAAACAATGATGTCATGTGGGACCTTGGTGCAAACCAGGCCATGTCAGGCTTTCAGTGTTTGTCAGCCCTGGGGTGTGCTGCCATGGAGCAGCTCACCTCAGCAGCAGAGCTTCTCACCTCTGGAGAGGTGCTCTGACCTTGAGAGCTCCATGCTCCTGCTGGAGGACCTTCTGGGTACTGTGGGATTTAAAACTCTTTGATCAAAACAATGGTATTTTGGCTTATGCCTGGTTCAGTAGGCACCACAATGGTCATGCACATGCTTTTCTCTCTGGAGAAGCTCGTTGAGTGCCTTGGTCAGGATGTTTGAGACAGAGAAGCAAGAGACAGACAGAACCTTCCGTGTTTTCCTTGTGTTTTCCTTCTTTGCCTCTTTAGTTTGCTGTTCTGTGATTCTGACAGTGCCCCTGAGTGTGCACTGCTCATAAATCTCAGGCAGGGAGCTGGGGGAATGATTGGAAAAGACAAAAAAATTACCTTTAAAGCATCATCTTCTATCTATTAATTGATTTTATCATTTTCTCTCTGAGCAGGTTCAACCACTTTAATTTTCACTGTAATACTTCGATTAACAATTCCTGCAGTTATGTTATTCTGTGCAAAAGCAACTGGTGGGTGATATTTAAAACCCTGCCTGTTTCTGCTGGACACTGAATCTGGGGACTGAATCTGTGCTCCTTCACTGAGAGTCTGGCACTTGGATTTCCCATCCCCTTGCAAAAAAAAAAAAGGCATCTAACAGCTTACTGCTTCTGCAGAGATTTTGGCCAGTGTGGGTCAGGTTGGAGCAAAAAGCTGGTGAGGACCTTGCAAACCCCATCCATAAATACATCCTGCCCCTCTGTATTTCTGGAACAAGACTCTTTTCAATGGTTAAACTGCTCAAACCTCCTTCTCTTTCTTCCTCTCAGGATAAAATTCACTTTCTTCCACCCTTTATCTGTTTGCTGGCTGAAATTGCAGATTTGGGGGGACGGAGACACTCTCTCCCTGCAGGGATGGGTGTGCTGTGGACACTGTGGACTTCACTGTGGACACCAGTGAAGTGTAGCTTCCATGTAAAAATGCTGGGATATAGCTGCCACCATGCTGGTGTGAGGTGGGAAGCTGTCCCTGCTTCAGCACTCCTGCCAGTCCTGATCCTGAACTATAGTTTAGGTGGATGCCAGGTTATTACTGGTGCAACAGTGGAGTAGCAAGAGGGAAAAGGTGTCTGCTCCTCAGATCCATTTCTCCAGACTCAAATGGTGAATAAAAGGAAGTTCTTTCCTTTAGTATTTTTTGATTTCCATGCCTCGGCAAGCGCATTCCTGTGGTGGGAGCTGTTTGGCATCTGCCACAGCTGGCACCTCTCCCCTGGCTCCAGGCTGTTTGTGTTTTGAGCTGCTCACTGGACGGCTCTGCTCTTCCCACACCGGATTTTGCAGCCCTCAACTGGCCAGCAAATGTCCAGCCATCCTCAAAAGCCAGCCTGGGTCCCACTTTGGTGGTTTGCAGTCTGCAGGTGACAATGGGGCAGTGTTGGTGTCCCCGTGCCACAGTCAAGGGGAGCTGAGTCCTGGCCAGCTCCTGCCTCACACATCCCCTGGGACCAGCACTGCAAGGACATTGAGGCAGGATTATCCTGCCACCTCTCTTTCTTAATTGATTAACAGTTCTGCAAACATTCCTGGTGATTTGCAGATGCTGGACTCCCCTTCTCTCCTCCTTTGAGGCATTGTGGGCTAAGCAAATAGAGTTTTTGAAGCAGTATAAATATAGATTTGGGGTGTTTCTTTGATGCTGCAGGTCTGACCTAGTTTGGTACAACACTGGAGATGGTTTAATCTTTATTTTTATATGCATGAACAGTTCTGGCATATCAAGACAGCTCCATAGTTAATTGTCCATTGCTCTTTTAAGCCTGATTCTGTAGCTTTTGGGGCTCCAGATCTGATTTCCTGTGACAATGCAGACTTGCAATCACCTTCTGGGAGTGGCACCAGTGTGGCTGGCCTTGGGGTGCAGCCCTCCTCATTTTGGCTGAAGCTGGGGCTCAGGCAGTTCTGGGGGTGTCCTGGAGTGTCCCAGCTCTTGTGGAGCTGAGCCCCTGGGTGCTGGGCTGGGAGAAGGTGCAAGTTCAGCAGTGTCCCATGGATTTGTCCCAGGGGTGGAGTACACTCCACACAGTGTTTGAGGAGCTGTGGTGGTGGGCAAAGGGGAGTCCCAGAGGCTTTCCTGGGTTCCCCTCTCTTCCAGGCAGCTCCTGTCCCAGCAGTAGCATCCAGGGCTCTGAGTTCAGACCTGAATTGCCATTTTTATTTTAAATACTTGAAGAGTCCCTATACTGCAGTGTGAGGGCTGCTTGTTGAGCTGGAGGAGGTGATGGTGGGTCTACCTCCTTCCTTCTGATGGTTTTCTTCCACTGTAACATGGCCTCCACCCATTGATCTGCTGCCAGTTTGGCTTCCCATTGATGTCCACCCACCCTTCCCTTCTGCTGATTCCAGCAGCTGCTGGATGAGGCTCTTGGCCTCTCCAGTGAAGCTCACCCAGCCCTTACAGCCTCTCCCAGCCCTGCTGTGTCCACCCTGCAAGGCACCAGATGTTCCCTAGCATCTCCCTGCTCTGGCCAGGGCTCTTGTCCTGGTTTGCAGAGCCTTCTCCCCTTGTGGAGCACCACTGATCCATGCAAGGCTTCTGACTTTCCCAAATGTTCCCCCGCCATTAGTTCCCTCTGTTCTCAAAATGGAAAATGTGGTGACAACATTTCTGCTTGTCCTTGGCCTCCTCGTCCCACCCCACCTTGTCTTGGGGAGGACCTGATGAGTAGCTGGTTTCTGTAGCTGTGGAAATGGGCTGTGAGAACATTTAAAATGCCTCATGGATGCAACATGATTCCAGACTTCCAGCCATGTGTTTGGTCGGAGCTGAGCTCTCCAAATCCATAAAACCTCCAAAACCTTTGCTCCTAGATTTTTGCTGAATTTCCTTCTCCAATAGCTTTCAGCATCCCGATGCCCCCAAACCATTGGTTTTCTACCTTCACGTGGCACTTTGTACATTTCCTCTCACTTTTTGAATTTAATTTCACTTTTCCCAAATGCATTGGCATCAGCAAGAGGGATGATGGAGTTAATTGCACGGCAAAGACCTTTTATGGCACTGTGGATAAACCAGTGACTGCCCATATCTTTGCTGGTTGCCACTGGGCAGCACTTCTGCACTGCTGGCAGGAAGGGGGAAACACTTCCAAGCCTCAAGTCTTCTGCTTGGCCTGGAGAGAAGAGAGGAGCTTTAACTCAAGAGCACGAGGAGCAGCCTGTCCTCACTGGGCAGTCACAGGAGATTCATTCCCAGTCTCAGCCTGGGCACTCTGGGTTGTCCTTTTGGTCTCCTCCTGAGGAAAAGCCATTGCATGCCACAGCACAAAGAAGGTGCTTTGGGCACCTAATATTTCTGGGCTCTCTTTTAAACCCCATCCAAACTGGGACTCTCTGACAGCTCTCTTGGTGGAGAGATGTCAACAGGGTGGTCACC